ATTTCTCCAAATATTGTTGTTACAGAGTGCATATTACGGCTGCGGAGGACTAAAATAACAAATAGGATGAAAAATATATATTGCAGCTATGGCTATATCTGAACCGATTTCGATCAAATTTGGCATACTTATTTTCAGGCCTAATTTGGTTGTACGTGCAAAATTCCATACCATTTGGACTGATGTTACAAATTTGGTAGGCAAATTGTACGAAAATATCTATGGAAGCTATACCTAAATTTTGACCGATTAGCAATACGGTTCGTCCTTGGGTCAAACAAATTAATTGTACCAAATTTCATCGGAATCGGGCAATAAATTCGACCTGTACTTTGTTTACAAAAATACATGGACAGACGGACGGACGGACATGCATAAATCGATTCAGAATGTGATTCTATGCAGATCATCAAAAGGAACTATGGGCCTATCTCGCCCCCTTATGCCTGTTACAAACAAATGCACAAAGACATAATACCCTGACCACCTTGTGGTGTAGGGTATAAAAATATTTATATGAAAAATTGACCGAGTTTCACCAAATGGTAAAATTCGGCTGAATATGAAAAAAATCTATCCAATTTGGGCTGACATTACATATATATAGTGAGCAATAACCATAAAATCGGATGAAGATGGATATTGAAGGTAAATAATAATCTCAACCGATCTCGATAAAATTTGGCAGATGTATTTTCGAGCTGTATTTGATGTGCGGTATCAAATATCCTTGTTGTGGAGTGCATATTACGCATGTGAGGGACTTTAACAACAAATCGTATAAAACATTTATATATGAGACCATAGCTATATTTCAAACCAATATTCACTAAATTTGATTTACTTGATTCTAAGTAAGTTTAATCTGAACCGATCTTGACAAAATCTTAAACATTAATTTCTGAGCTCTATCTGATATCTGGTACCAAATATCATTCTTGTAGAGAGCATATTACGAATGTGAGGGACTTAAAACCCCAATTCGGATGAAATATATATATATATATATTGGAGCTATAGGTATATCTGAACTGATTTTCTCCAAATTTGATGTACTTGCTTCTAGACTGAGTAGGTCGGATGTACCAAAAACCAGTCCATTTGGGCTGATATTAGCCATTTGATGCACTATTAACCCGAAATCGGTTGAAGATATATATTTGGAGCAATATCTAAATTTGAACCCCCAATTTCAATGAGGTTGGTCTTTTGGTCAAACAAATATTGTTTGAAAATTTTCATCTAAATTGGATAATAAATGCGACCTGCATTTTGTTCGCAAATCACAAAATCGACTCAGAAAGTGATTTTATGAAGATCCTCAAAAGTAACTCGTAACTGGTGTATGGTATAAAAATCCAAACCAATTTGGCCTTAATTGGGCATTTTTAGATGATACATTTTTAAAATTTATCCATTATTGCATTTATTAATAAGATATATGATGAAAATTAATTACGGATCTTTTAGCACGTATATAATGAACTTATATGGTAGATAATCATAGGAAACCAATTGAGAGTTTATTTTTAATAGTGTTAGAGTTGATTTTGAGTTTACAATACAATTAGATCTAATAACTGTATTTTTATTGCCTTTAAGTATATAACCTACACCACTCAATGGAAAAAGATCGTTTTCAAAACTCTTCTGCAGAAATATAATCGGAATGAATTTAATAAAACGAGAATTATTTTCACGAAATTTTTGTCTGTCAAACAACTTGGTCTTTTTGATCCTTATTTTCTAAAGGGAGTTTTTTCCTCTTAAAATGTTTTTTCCTCTTAACAAGTGAAAATATTAAAAAAGTCAATCGTCAAAAATTTCTAATAAAGATCTCAGAATATATAATTGGACTGAATCTTACCCAAACGACAGGTGTTTGTTTTTATTAGGAAACACATTTTAGGTTTACAGCAGTAATTAATGTTAATTTTTGCAAAATGCTCCTACAAAGTATCTTCTTAAGTTTTAATTTCCATTATAATATATATATATATATATATATATATATATATTTTTTTTTTTTTTTTTTTTTTGGGAAATTTTTTTTTCTCATTCTTTAAAGATATTGTTAAAGTATGACATATTCTAGGTCAAATTCCATTGTCAGTCTCTAAGTAAATGTAGTAATTTTTTAGTAAATGTTAAAATTTGCGTGAGGTGGCACATGTAGTCATATTTCATCTAATCCAGATATGCTAAATCGTGAATTCTGATAAATTCCATATTCATCCCAGGGTTCTGGTTGAGAGAAGAATTTAGATATAGCAATTTGTAAATAAGTTGGCAGATAAAAGAATTGAAAATTGTGAGCCTTTGTGGGTGAGGAACCAGAAGGGGCGAGCCGATATCTATCATCTTCACAACATATCTTGTGTTAGAAGAAATGTGTTTGGATGTGTGAAATTTGAAGAGAATTGAATGCTTATTCGGGTTTTATGAGTGTTGGTTATTCAAAACATTGAACCTCTGTGGGGGAAGTACTAGAAGGAGAGGTCCCATATATTTCAACTTCACACAAGATCTTTTTTTATTCGAAATATTGGGATGTGTAAGATTTTAAGACAATTAGATGGTCAATGCGTGTTTTTTAATCGTTTTGGCTTTTCAAAATGTTGACACTTTGCGGGGGAGGCACAGGAAGGAATAGACCAACATATCCCATCTTCACACCCGATAGAAGAGCTATAATTTTTCAAAATGTTTACCCTAGTTGAGGGAGGTTCTTGCTGGAGTGGGCCGATCCCCTACCGTTTTCTCGACAGATCTAATGTTGATAGAAATATTGAGATGTGCCGAGTTTGAAAGGAATCTGGTGTTCATTTCGCGTTTTACGAACTTCATGGCTATTCAGAATTTTGACCCTTTGTGGGGGAGGTACCAGAAGGAATGAACCGGTATATCCCATCTTCACACCAGATCTTGTGTTAATAAAAATAATAGAATCCGTAAAATTGGAAGGCAATCGGACTATTATGTCACATTTTATAAGATTTATAATTATTCCAAATTTCGACTCCTGTAGGGTCCTGTGGCCTATAAAAAAATTACGTATGCAGTACCACGACTTCGTAAAATCCCTATATATAGGTTTTCCTTTGAGCGGAATTTTTTGAAAAAAATTCGATCTTCTAAAAAATGGTAGAGCGTATTAAAAGTTCGTCCCTACCGAAATAAACTGCTTTTTTCTTGTTTTTATTAAAACTGATCGATATTCTTTGTTAATATATTATAGTTTTTTCATTATTTAAATTTTCTTTGATAAACCTGGTGGTGCAGGGACCTTCACTTGTTCAGTTTAGATTTATATTTTTTATTTCGACACTGCGGTGCTATCAATGGTATGATCCTGAAAAGCAGTTTTTTTCGAGAATACCTTCTGTTTTTCAGCTTAGGCTGGACCCAATTGGGTATATTTTTGCCAGGAATTATTTTATACAAATGAGTTTCAAAACTGTTTTAACCGTAACTTCGCTTGAAAAATGCTGCTAGAATCTGTAAAGAAGGGCATTCATTGAAAATGGTATCGAAGTCTAAAGAAGGACCCATAAGGTGAATGGTATCCAAGTATATCTTCTGGCTATTGATAATGCCAAGTTACAGTCATTTTATACCCTCCACCTTGGTAAGGAGGGTATATTAACTTTGTCATTCCGTATGCAACATGCCTAAATATTCGTCGTAGACCCCATAAAGTATATATATTCATAATCAGCATAAAATTCTAAGTCGATTTAACGATGTCCGTCTGTCTGTTGAAATATACATTTTTCATGGATTTTTCTAAAAATTGGTATTTGTTGGTCATAATGGATTCTGACTGCGGTGGCGAAACATTGTACACATAGGTCCGCGTTTTGGTATAGCTCCCTTATAACGGTACCTCCAGATATTCGATCTTTTTACAATTTTTGCCACATTTTTTCACGGATTTGTCTAAAAATTGGAATTTTTGTGTCCTAATGGGTTTTAGCTTCGGTGGCAAAACACTACATGTATAGGAACGAACTTCTATGCCTTGGAAGTAGTAGCAGCCTTGAGAATATGAAATTTTAAATTTCAGCCATTCTCGTTGTAAAACATGACTTTATCTTTTAAATTCGGACATCACTTCATTAAATACGAGCTTTTAAAAAATATGAACCACATTTTCTCGTTTGAGCGGGTATATTGGCTTTTAATACGTCATAGATTAATTTATTACCTATCATATAAACCACCGACATAGTCAACCTTTCCTTTATGGTCCTTCATGGGGTATGGAGGACACACCCAAATAGTCTGATATGAACATTACCTTCTGTGAAAAGTTTCAGCCAGAGTTTCCAAAATAGGACTAGAGTCTCTTACTTTTACCTTTGGTCCACGTTTCACATAAGATTCATATTAGGTACTTATCACATTTTTGTCCCTAATTACGGTTATTTGACATTTTGAAACTTCAAAAAAGAAAAAACTCACAAACATATTTCAAACTTTGTTCCGACCATAATGTTATATAACTCCAAATTTCTCTAATCCATCGAAATGAGAGTTACTAAATTCAATTACAATTTTCTGCAAGTGGTGTAGGCTATAATAACTACTTTAATTAATTTTCATTTAATTTCTCATTATTATTTTTTAATTGAATATTTATTTAACATCTGTTTTGCATTGGGTGTGTCGCCGCTATTTCAATTCTAATATTTTTTCATTTTATAGCTGTAGCATTTCATACATCTAATAAGGCCTATTTACATACATAAGTATTTTGTTTTGAAACATTACATTTCATTGTTAAAAATAATTAATAATTATAATTATATTTTTTTATTATTATTATATATAATAAATTTGGTTATTTACATTAGTTAAATATTTTTTGATTAGTAATAAATTATTGTTCGATTTTTTTATTATTTTTTTAAAAAAATATTGCACTTGTTTTTTTTTTGTTTTGGTTTTTGGTTAAATTATAGTAAATTGCAATTAAAACTAAACTGAAATTCTTATAAAAATTGTTTATGAATAATTAAAAAAAAAACTTAACAATATTTTCTTCACCCTCTGCTTCACATAGATTTTCACCACATTTTATAGAATAACAATTGCTGTGATGGGAACCTTAGCATAGCCACAATTGCGGATCCAACCACCAGACTCCATAGGCTATTTATACTTCCAGCAGCATTGCAATTATCTGTAGTACAGATGGAACAGAAAAACTCCTGACTGGGATCGCCACTGCCATCCTGCCGTCCATTCCGATAATTGTTGTTATAGCCGTTCGCATCGTCATTGGGTATACGCAGCTTGGATTTCAGAATGGCACAGGCATCCGATTCGCCGGTATTTAATTGACAAAATCGAGCCGTTACCATTTTATTTGTGACAGCTGTCCCAGAAGAGAGAGAGAGAGAGAGAGAGAGAGAGAGAGAGAGAGAGAAAGGAAGAGAGAGAGAAGAAGAAATATTTATTTTTAATTAAAAAATCGATTTCCATTTGAACTTACGTTGTCTGGCCACCACCTTCTGACAGTTCATCAGCGGACTTCGATTCGCTCCCGTATCGAAATAGGCAAAACTATTTATTTCAAAAAGCCAAGTATTTATCGATTTCATTTTATCCAGTGTACATTCCTGAAAGCGATAGAGAAAATGGCACAAAAATTAGCAAATTTTACAGATCTGATAATTAGAAGAAGTAAATATAATTAAAACATAAATGTTCGGACTGGGCGGCTCGGACCCTCCACCATTTGGAAATCAAACAAAAATTTAAAATTTAAAAATTCCTCTATAATTTTAAACAAGTAAAAAAACATTAAGTTTGACCGGGCCAAACTTTGAATACCCTCCAACTTAGGGTAAAGGAAACATTAGAGCCCATTATGACCCACATATACCAATTTTTAGACATATTCATGGGAAAATGTGCCAAAAATCATCAAAATTCCGAATATCGGGATATACGGCTATAAAAAACGTGGACCTATACATACAGTGTTTCGCCAAAAGAGCTAGAACCCATTAAGACCAACAAATACCAATTCAAAATCCATTAAAATGCCGAATATCGGGAGGTACCGTTATATGGGGGCTATAACAAAATTGTGGACCTTTACATACCATGTTTCGCCAAAGGAGCTAGAACCCATTATAACCTACAAATGCCAATTTGCCAAATCCGTGAAAAAATGTGTCAAAAATCATCAAAATACCGAATATCGGGAGGTACCGTTATATGGAGACTATACTAAAACGTGGACCTATAATTACAATGATTTCCCTACACGAACTGGGACCCATTATGACCTACAACTACCAATTTTCAGAGAAAATCGTGAAAAAATGTGTCAAAAATCATCAAAATACCGAATATCGGGAGGTACCGTTGTATTGGGGTTATACCAAATCGTGGACCCATACATGCAATGTTTCGCCACCGGAGATGGAAACCCATTATAACCAACAAATACCAATTTTTAGACAAAGCCATGAAAAAATGTGTCAAAAATCATCAAAATACCGAATATCGGGAGGTACCTTTATATGGGGGCTATACCAAAGCGTGACCTATATATGCAATGTCTCGCCACACGAACTGGGACCCGTCATGACCTTCAAATAACAATTTTCAGACAAATCGGTGAAAAAATGTGGCATAAATCATCAAAATATTGAAGGATGTTACAAACGGAATGACAAAGTTTCCTTTCCAAGGTGGAGGGTATAAATATCCGAATATCTGAAGGTAGGCTTATATAAAGGCTATACGAAAACCAATTATCTGCAAGATGAGGTGGCGCTTATTAATAACTCCAAATACCAAGTTTGAGATAATTCTGTTGAAAAATGCAACCAAACTCCTTAAAATACTGAATATTGGGAGGTACTGTTACGAGTATATTGGGCCGACCGGGCCGAAATTTTAATATCTTCTATAATTTTTTAATATCTTCGAAATTTTAATGTCTTCCACATAAAAATTTTCAATAAATTCCGAAAAAGACCGTTTAAATAAAAACCGTCATACAGGGCTATACGAAAACGAGAACCTGCATTATACAATTTCTGTCATAGAACCAATTACGAACTTCAAATACGAAATTTACAACAATTGCGGTGAAAAGTGTGACACAAATCATCAAAATACTGAATATCTGGAGGTAATGTTATGTGGAGGCTATACAAAAACGCGGACCTCTATAGCCAATTACCTGCCAGAGAAGCCGGTACCTGCTACGAACTTCAAATACCACGTTTGGGATAATTCTGTTGAAAAATTATATTTTTTCCTGAAAATACCGAATATCTAGAGGTATAGTTATATGAAGTCTACAGAAAAACATGGACATTGGACAGCTCTATGCAAGCACGTTGCCTACATGCTAGGAACACAAACTGGGAGTTAACAACAAATTCGAATTAAAATTGGGACCAAAACTACCAAAACATCTTAAATCTGGTTGTACAGTTATATGGGTAGCTACTTGGACCATTTTCAATACTTAAAGTCTTGAAGATATAAATACATCTGAGTAAAATTTGATCAACCTACTTCATTTCGTTCAGTACGAATATCCAAAACAATCTACATCACTTCATTCTAAAATTGTATAATTTGGTACTTCGCCATTCAAAATTAGTACCATTTAGTACTTTTTGTACAATTACAGTACGCATTTGCAAAACCACCACCAGATCTCAAAATCAGAAATCACTTTAATATTTCCGGATTCCATCCCAGCACATTCACTCATTACCAAAATTGGTACCATACCATACCATACCAACAGAGACTTTAATATGAAATTTCATTTCAATACCTTCATCCAATATTAAATATAGTAAAATTCAATACTTTTCGTACAATTATACTGATATATAGTACTACAGGGTTAGATAAAAACTGCAACAAAGTCAAACGCCATAATTTTTACATTTTTTTTTTTACATTTTATTGAATGAAAGCGAAAAATGTCGGAAATGGCATCAAATTTTAGAATAAGTTTAGATTTGTTCGAATTGGTCACCTTTGGCACGAATCGTGGCCTACAAACGGCCAATGAAACTGTCACACGCTGCCCGAATGTTGCTCTGTGGTATTTTGGCCCATTCCCGGCGAAGCGCTTGCTTGAGGTGATCGACACTTTGGTATTTTTTAGTGCCAACCTTGCGTTCCAAAATACTCCAGACACAATAGTCCAACGGATTGGTATCCGGAGATTTTGGTGGCCATTGTGCGCTGGAAATGAAGCGAGGAACCTCATGTTGTAACCATTCTTGGGTGGCGCGTGCTAAGTCCTGTTGGAATGTCCAAGGTCTGCGACCAAAATATTTTCGTGCCCTAAGCTTTAATACATCCCCCCCCCAGAATATTTTCGCGATAATATTCGCAATTTATTCTGATGCCACGTTAAATTAATACGAAACGGAGAGCGACCATCGGCTGTTATGGCGGCCCACACCATCACCATGGCCGGCGCTTGAGTTCTGGTGACCAACCGGAGGTGCACATATTCAGCTGACCTCCTTGGCAAGTAAACACGATAATTTTGTTTGTTTACAAACTGCTCTGCTGGACAACGAATGTTTTCTCATCGGAGAAAACCAAACTCGGCACTTCACCACTTTCGGCCAAGCGAAGCAACTCTTTAGCTCTTTTGAGTCTATTTTCCTTCTGTTGCGGTGTAAGTTCTTGCTCTTTTTGGAATTTCAATGGCTTTACCCCGAGCTCATTTTTCAATATTTGGCAAATGGAATATTGCGATATGTTCAGCTCACAAGCCATTTTTCGGCCACTGCGACGCGGGTTTCGATCAAGTCGCTTCTTTACTTTTCGAACCATTTCTGCTGATGTTGATATTTTCTTCCGTCCACTTTCTTGACGTCGGGTTACGCTACCAGTATCAAGGCAACGAGCGATGGTACGAGACGCAAAATATTTATTCACATTTAAATGCTGGAGTGCTCTAAGGATAGCCACTTGTGATTTTCCAGCCTAATATAAAGAAATCACACTATCACGCTTCAATTCCATCACGTATAACTTTTTTTCTTGAAAATTATGTATATAATTTGTACGCTTGTAAACAATTGAAAGAGCTGTCACTGGAATAATGTTAACAGCTGTCGGACGAGTGGCTTAGAAATGACAGAATGACATTGCATTTTCTTCATCTCACCCTGTATATTTGTCGGCAAAAACGACTTATTATACCCTCAGCCATATGGCTACAGAGGGTATATATCATTTGATACGGTCAAAACGTGCCTAGTCGAAATAACAGTTTTAGACCCTAGGTCTCTTTGGACCAAATCCGTTTCAGGACATTTGGAGTCGATCTAGCGATGTGCGTCCGTCCGTCTGTCTGGCTGGTGCGCACGATAACTCTCGAAGGAAATACTCGATTTATTTTTGTCAAACTTAGATCGAGTTCGGAGATGGGCAAAAATATATATTTTCTGCACAGAAAGATAAATGATGATCCGATTTTGTTCCAACTTTGCGAATCCTAATATTTTTCTCAGTGCTAAGTCAAGTGCGAAAATGGACAATACCGGTCCACTCTATCAAGTACCTCCCCCACAAAGGGTCAACATTTTGAATAATTACAACTCTCATAAAATGTGATGTAAGAGTCCGATGGTCTTCAAATTTCACACATCCCAATGTTTATATTAACCCAAGGTCTGGTGTTAAGATGGAATATATCGGTCCACTCCTTTTGGTTCCTCCCCCCACAAATGGTCAAAGTTTTGAAAAAAATATCTATTTTTTGCACAGAAAGAGAAACGATAATCCGATTTTTCTCCAACTGTGCAAATCCTAATATTTGCATCAGTGCTAGGTCTGGTGCGAAAATGAACAATATGGGATCGATCAAGTACCTCCCCCACAAAGGGTCAAAACTTTGAATAACTACTACTGTTATAAAATGTGATGTAACCGTCCGATTGTTTTGAAATTTCACATATCCAAGTATTTATATTAACCTAAGGTATGGTGTTATGATGAATATATTGGTCCGTTCCTTCTGGTACCTCCCCCACATAAGGTCGAAATTTTCAAGAAATAATTTTTTGCACAGAAAGAGAAACAATAATCCGATTTTGCTCCGACTTTGCAAATCCTAATATTTCTATCAGTGCTAGGTCTGGTGCGAAAATGGACAATATCGGTCCACTCCTTCTAGTACCTCCCCCACAAGGAGTCAAAACTTTAAGTAATTACAACTCTCATAAAATGTGATGTAAGAGTCCAATTGTCTTGAAATTTCACACATCCAAATATTTATATTAACCCAAGGTTTGGTGTTAAGATGGAATATATCGGTCCACTCCTTCTGGTACCTTCCCCACAAATGGTCGAAACTTCAAAAAAAAAATTATTTTTTTGCACAGAAAGAGAAACAATAATCCGATTTTGCTCCGACTTTGCAAATCCCAATATTTCTATCAGTGCTACGTCAGGTGTAAAAATGAATAATATCGGTCCACTCCATTAAGTGCCTACTCCACAAAGGGTAAAGATTTTGAATAGTTCCAACTCTTATAAAATTTGATTTAAGAGTCCGATTGTCTTCAATTTTCACACATTTCAATATTTTTATTAACCCAAGGTCTGGTGTGAAGAT